GTGCAGGCATCACTTTCTCCTTTGGTGGTGTTCAGATAGACCCTGGTATTGCTCAAATATTACGTGTATCCAGTGGCCCTCCCAGCTGTGGAATTTACTGTGGTGGGAAGACGATGGGAGGTTCACTTTATATGAATTACCCTGGTGGGAGTGGACTGGCTGCTGGAATGGTGTTTGGGAGACGTGCTGGTAACGTAGCCGCAGTGTTTGTTAAAGACCCTCCGGGGAAAATAGGAAGCTAAAATAACATGGGATTTAACCACGTAGTTCAACTTGAAGAGTTGGCTGCTATTAGTATATTGTTACAGGGCGGGTTTATTTACTATTCCCTCTGGCGTAACTAGTACTTTAATTATTGTCATCTTGGTCGATCGTGCTCCACCTTCCTTGCTTTTGTCGACCGGTCCGTACGTTTCTGCCGCGCAGCAGGCTGGAGGCCCCGTAGGGTCCGAATTGCCCGTGACTCCGGTTAAGCCGACCGGTGCTGGTGGCGCTTCTTCTTCTTCGCGATCGAAACGGTTCATTACCTTGTCTGATGATGAGGACACTGCTTCCGAGACTCCGAGTCGTAGAGGCAAGCGTGGCAAGAAGGAAACGGGAGTAATTACCCGTGCTGAGCAGGAGAAAGTTGCTCGTGCTGAGTCTCTGACTCCACGAAAAAACAAACCTGTTAATATACTAATATATACTAATATTAAGTAATTTTCTTATTTTTATAAATTTCTTAAACGCTTTATAATATATTAACTGACTTTATGTGGTTTCATACCCGGAATCCGACGCACTCTTCTTTGGGTTATCAGACTTCATAGGAGTCAAGTTGTCTTTATCGAGCTTTTTCTTTTCAAATGCTTTTTCAGCGTCCCCTTCGGGCGAGACAGTCTCTTTGTCCTCCTGTCCCGTCTTGTCCTTTGTATCCTCGTTTACATTCTTCTCTTCTTGTCTTCTGTTCTGTTCCTCCTGTCTCTTTTTCTCAGCCTCTTTCGCCTTCTCCTTCTTTTTATCCCTCCTCATTTGCTCAACCCAGATGCCCGAAGCAGCCAACGCACCTTCTGGATCGTGCTTGTGCTTTAACAGCAGTCCTTGGATTTCTGCTGGACTGAACTCGAACTCTGGAATCTTCTCTCCAAACTGCCTGGCCTGTTCGTCCACACGTTTGCTGATTTGCGCGTGCTTCTTAGCAAGTCTAGCCCGCCTGGCTTCCGAGTCTGAATCCTTGGCGTTTACCTTGGAAGCAATTTCGCTTTCGTACGGTGCATAGATAGAACGGAAGATGGAGGCGGTCATAGGGGAGTCTGCCAGACCAAAAGGAATGACCATGTCGATGCGACCAGGACGGATAAGTGCCTTGTCGAGCTTTTCAATATGGTTGGTTGTCATGATGAGAATACGGCCTTCCTGGGAAGCCACGCCATCAAGGATATTAAGTAGACCTGAGAGGCTGACACGACCAGGGGGGACCGGGAGTGGAGTAGCCGCTTTAGTGCCGTTGGCAGAGGTAATGACTTGTGATGGAACTTGTCCGGGAACAGCTGGAGGAGCGGGAGAGTCCTCGCGGGTATGAGTTAGGCCAGCACTGTCGATATCCTCAAGCAGTACGACGCATCGAGTAGGTAGTTCATGGAAAAGAGAGGTGAGATTCTCCTCGGTAGCCGCAGCAGAGCTCAAGCTGACGATATAGATCTTCATGCGGAAGTATCCTGCCAACGCGAGACTGAGGGAACTCTTACCAGTTCCAGGAGGTCCATGGAGCAAGTATCCTCTTCGGTACGGAATGCCGCGATTCGCATACCACCGACGAGTAATGGGGTTTAGATAATCAGCAGCGTCATCAATCAAGTCCTGTTTCACATGCTCGTTCAGAATAACTGTTGAAAAGGGTCGATTTAGGCGCGACATGCACCGCTGCCAGTAGATATCGGCAAGATTTGCGCGATAAATGACGGTTTTGCGATCATCCTTCTTCATGTGCAGTTGTCTCGCTTCCAGTAGCAGTTCCTTCAGAATCCTGGGATTTCTCCCCAAACAAGATATCCGCAGCTCTTCCTTCTCGCTCGCCGTCATGCCGAGAATCTGCTCGCGGTTCTGGACACGCTCGAATGTTAGAGGACGCAGTCTATACCAAAAGAAGTGCGTGCCAACGGACGGGGTGTAGTGGAGAGCCTGCTTCAGGTCGTTGGACAGGCCAGTGGTTGTGTTAACTGGAGAGTCTGCCGCTTCGTCATCCTCCTCTTCAGAATCCGAAGTATTGTAGCTGCACATGAACCGGTTTCGAGAATTGATGTTGGTATTTGCTACGAAGTGGCGAGAGTTGTGCGAGAATTTCTGTTTCGAGAGCCATAGCATGACCATGTTGTAGATCTCGTCATCGGTACGGATGGTGACTGATGACATGAAGTAGTCTTCAAAGAATACCCAGAACTCTTCCTTGACATAATTCCATGCCACTGATGCGGCGATGACGCCGAGCAGGATAGGGACATACGAGTTGAAATCGACACCGACGTAGGCATGTGCAGCAGACATGAGCATGGAGTACCCCGGGAACAGATAATTCAGCAGTGCGAACTGGGGTGAAGGGGCGCCTGGTATATCAGTTCCATTGCTCGTCGGTGTAGGCTGCTCAGCCTCTTGCCCAGCGTCCAAAGCTTGCTTGACTTGATGGAAGAAATCCATAGTAGAGGATCTGGTGGTCAACAACCAGAAAGTTATCGTCACAACACGTAGCGTTCGTTGGAAGAAGAAGACGGCGACTTGTTGGAGTATCCCGCGTGCCGTTGATCTTGGGTAAGTAAGTACCTAGCACTTTCCTCGTCGCCACAAGAACAAGGCTCAAGCTGTTTTGCGGCGGGCAAGAACGACCAGGTAGATTAAGTGCAAGACAAAAGATAATTAAATGAAGAAGTTGGGCCTTGGACGGTCAGACAGACTTGCACGGCAGCCTTATTTATATGTCCAGATATCAGCACTTGCAGCCTAGATTACGCGGCTGACAGCCGGCTGCCACATGTCCGGTGCATCTTTCACCGACAAAAAGGCAGTGCTGGTCATGCACTCCAGATGTGAATTGCTCGGCGGGCTTACTCTTTTTGCTAGGTGCGCTCACGCCCTATTACCTAGAAATTTAAGTAATTTATAATAAGATTTATATTTTTATTTTAAAATATATTTACTTACCTTATAATATACATAAATATATTTACTTACTTTAAAGTATATATAAATATATTTCTTTACCTTAAAATATATATAAATATATTATAATATAATACATATAACCTAATAACCAGGTACTTGCTAGGTAGGGCGTGAGCGCATAGCAAAAAGAGTAAGCCCGCCGAGCAACTTACCTCCAGATGGCACGCAAGCCTGGAGGCAGCAGGCAGCAGGCAGCAGGACCGCATTGGCATCAGCAGTGTACAAAACGGCATCATGACTCCTCCGGTCAATCGTCGAGCGACGAACGACGTCAATAGTGGAGAGGACGGTGGCGAAGAGCAAGATCTACGGGTCGGCCAGTGCAGTGCCCTCAAGTTAATCGAATCAATGAATCAAGTTAGACGGAGATATTGGCGCCACCAGGACTTGACAACTTCACCAGCCTGGACACTGGAGTGCCTAGGACGGACGAACCACCCAGTGTCGCTTGGCATGGTCGCACAGTCCTCTGAGTCATCGGTTACAACTTGCGCCCCAACATTTGCATCTATAACATACATCCCGGGCGAGCAAACCAATGCAGTTATTCATCTTTATTTTTATTCAATTCTTTAACCTAACCCCCAATTATACATAAAACACCCATCATGACGCATAAGAAGCTTGGGGGTTGTGATTCATGGCTGCGGCATGGCTGCGCGCCGCCAAAGGCTATCTCGCGATACAGCCACTGCATGGAAGCAAACTTTGCGCATCAGAGATGTACTATGTTTGCGTGCAAGTGACTCAGTCCGAAATCTACGAGTTTAAATTGCACACTGTCCGTTGGTTTGCCTCATCCCGGCGAGACCAGTGCGCTTTTACAGTCATCCATGATCCGTCTGTCCAATCAGCTCAACCTAGTCCAGCGATTATAACCACAAACTGGAACCCAACGCTCACTCTCGCTGGACGATAGGCTTCCAGGGCGCAGATCTTCTTCCATGCTGTTTTGTGCAGAGGAATACGACACACTAGGCTGGCAGGCACGGATGGGCTCCGTGACGAGAGGCAACCAACACTCTAGCCTCCACATGCTGTCAGGCAGTGGGCACATCACGAGATTGCGAAAGTGGACAATGTCGAATACCAAGGTAGGACAAGCCGGGGGACCGATGAGCTGGGAGTGGCCCGGAAGGACCAGGGCAGATCGAGCTCAGCCTTAGGCTCAGCCTCAGCCCTAGATCAGGACTTGGGCTGCCAATGCAAACTTGCCAACGGACTCATGATTGGCTTACCCATAACCAACAGCACTGGGCCATTGCTTGTTGGGTACTGGCACCAATTGGGCTGCTTCGGGCAATGTTGACGGGGATGTGAATCCAAGGACGCTGTCCTGGCGGGCAAGTGACGGATGAGATCGCAACCTGCTCATATGGCCGCCGTCGATAGGCAATATGTCTGCGAAAACTGCCGGGTCGAGCTCGTATCCGGGAGGTTTCCGCAGCTCACTAAGGACAGGCATTCATATAATGAAGAGTCCTGAACATTTATGAGACCCAAGTAGTATCGGGGATCAAGTCAACAGAATGGCATCATCTCGCCAGGGCGGCGTCTGATGCCGTCTGAATTCCTGTCGTAGCTCAATCCGCATTGTAGCTTGATTCAACGCAAGGCTCACTACCAAGTCAATCTGCCATGCTGTCTTCAAATGCATCCTGCCAAGTATTCCATGCCCGTCACTAACCCTCCGCGGTGTCATCCATTCCACAATGTCAATGCTTCCATCATACCAAAATGAGTCAACGAAATGTAGCTCCCGGCCCAGCATAAGTAAGCGTGCGAGGCCTCTACGCCTCCTGTCAGTTCGATAGAGGTTCTTTCCCAGGAGATCTTCCACCAGCAGCTTCTTCGACAACACTCGCCGGCGCGCCATCCGCCGCCTCCTCCGTATAATAGGTACTCGCGACACCCCAATAGCGAAAGAGGTCGTTGGTACCTCGGGTCGTGGCCCAATATACATATGCACCTTGGTCGGTATACATCATCTGCTGAGGATCGTATACATAGTAAGTCTCGTCGATGCGGGACCGTGGGAATTTTCCCACGATATATGTGGACGCCACAGGAGCACCCGTGATGTACAAGACGAATCGCAAAATCCAGCTGGGATTCCGGGGGATCGGCCAGATCGAGTACATGTAGTCCATGGTCTTCATTCGGCCCGCCGGGTACACGGTTCGCCTTGCGCGCCCCGAGGAGACGGATTCGACTGACGATGCTGACACCATGGTGGCCCAATAGCTTTGTGGTGGTGGTGGTGGTGGTGATGATGCTCGGGTATTCAAGAGGATGCTTCGGTTTCAATGTAATAAATGTGCACAAATGTTGAAGAGTTGCATGAGAGCAGAATCATCGACCAGCACGTCGTATTGAAGCATGTATTAATGTAATTTTAACTCGGAATCATCTGGCATGGGAACTTTGCAAACCTGCAACAGCATTGCCGTCATATTAGTAGCTACCCGACACCAACGAAGCACAAGGACCGACAAATGCGCCTTAGCTATCCACATTCGAATTGACACGTCTGCGTATGAGTGACACAGCTTATGTCAAGGTCAAACCGAAGACATATGACAATTGCCGTAAATGATGGCTTGGCACCAGAAAGTTGCGCCGTTTGGGTCCAATGCTCGGGTCATCGTGAGCTTTGGGCGTGGACGGCCAACCCTTCTGCGTCGCCACGGCACACAGTCTCCTGAGATTGGCCCGAGTAGCACTGGTGTCATTGTGCCATGTCGCCATTCTTCATTCGTGTCGAACCATAAACGAGCGGCCGTTGAACGCCCAGAACGTTGGATCGTGGACATGCCATTCATAACCCACACTTGTCGGGTCGAAGCGATGGAATTTGCGCCGTCGGGCAGAGACGACCAATGGCCGTCTTTCGCTTATTTGGACGGCCTGGAATACAGATCCGTAGGGCATCTTCAATCGATTGATGTCAGGGACGAGAATAACCGGGCAAACGAGCACGGCAAAGTCGTCAATACACCAATTGGAAGCAGGATATTGCATGGAGACCGACCAAGAGCTTCATCAAACATGTCTGTAGTCACTACGAGAGCCGACAATGGCCCGACACCCAAGGATAATAATACATTCACTGTAAACGTGTTTCTTTTCCGTCGTTCGTTGTTGTGTCTCGATGCCGACTCTTGCAGTTTGTGGGCATTGTCAATAACGAGCTGGACAGGCGGATAGTATGTTGAAGATGCCGTCACCAAAAAGTCACCAACTGGCCATCAGCATGGTGGTGTTTCTCCCATCATCCAACAGTATCCACGTGCCACGGCAGCATAGCCATCACTCAAATCTGTTAACCTTTATCTCGGGTATTACGGCAGAATCGCCAAGAGCCAACGAAAAGCTAGGAGTCATCTCAGGCTATGTAAAGTACTAGCAGTACGGTCACCGTTGTTCATCACCAAGGATTACTAGGATGCGCGTATGGATAATTTTAGAGTCATGCCATAGCCGCGCGTGTGTTCATCTTGCCGTTGACCTGAAACGTTGTTGTGCCGTCAACGTCTCCGGTTTAGTGTTGGCAGTCCATCTTCCATGTTTCATTGTCACGAGAGAGGCTCAATGAAACGGGGATGATTTTGACTGGGATTGTCATTGAAGCATTCCGCGTATGCTCAGCTAATAGGGGATAAAGATATCCTCTTCATCAAGGCTGCTGGCTTGATTTCCTGGAGTTGGCGAACCCACTCGCACCCAAGAAAGACGCGAGCGAATCCAATTAACATGGGGAAAACCCTCTTTCAACACGTGTCGCTCTTCGCATTCTTGTACCGACACCGTGCTCGATCCAAGGCCCGACCGCCAGGCCGTGTGCAAACCGGAAGGCGGTTCTTGTGGTCATAGTCGAACACTGCAATGCCGAAACATGTGCATTCACGGGCATTATCACCTCAGGGGAACCCTCCAGGGACTATGATGTGGACTACTCCGCACATTACTCCGTAGTAGGCAAACAAATGCCAGACATGCTGGCCACATCAGCGATCGGTCCTAGTCCTGGTCTGTCGCAACCCAACCTCGTGCCTCGGCTTGGCGACCTCTTGGCAGACGGGAAATGGCCAAGGGCATATGTACAAGTACTAATAACAATGGCGAATGACGTGGTTGAGTGGTTAGCAATACAGTATCTGTTGCGTTTTTTCTTGGCGAGCGGATGCCACAGTCGCGGAGCCGGGGGACAGAGTCCGGAGATTCGAAGCAAAACCTGCCCATGCCTGGGGAAGTTAGGACCGGGATCATCGTGAGGGAGGCTATTGCTATTGCTGAGCCGGCCTTGTGGTGGGAATGCCTTGTGCGACCCATTTCAAGGAACCAGATCGCTGAAATCTGGGGAAATGGGTTGATTTGTCCAGTTGCCCCATGCCGCGCGACCATTACGATAGATGATATGTACACTAGTAGTAGTACTACATATACTAGTAATAGCACAGGGTATGATACTGTGTATCCTAGAGTATTTTGTTCCAGTTGCAGTGCCGCAGCCAAAGAAGAAGGTTGAAGTTTCAGCCCACCGAACCGAGGAGGGCGCTTTTTGGGCCGACAAGCATCTGAACGGCGGGACGGATTACGACACGGGCCCTCGAGATTTGCACGCTTCGCGCTGGGCTTCAAGTACGGAGTACTAGTACTGTACATACATTTGTTTTCATGGATCCGGTAGCCAGGGGTCTGGCTTTTGGGTTCAACGAATTTAAGCATCCGTTTGTTTGTGCCTGGAGTACTCGGTCGGATGCTGCTTCGCTCATTGCCTTCTCCCGAGATGTGGAGCTTGATAGAGAGTCGGCATTGCTTCAGCTGCCCGTTGAGTCTTTTAGACCCGTATTGTAGTACGATAAGAGATTTCGCTGAAAGTGGAGAGGGTTGCATCAAGACAGAGACCACGGCGGAGAGAGGGGATCGAAACTCGATCGAGGTGCCGCGTTTGTTGCTTGATACAACCCAAGGCCGTTGTGCAATAAATAGTCTGGAATACGGAGCACAGAGAGGAGTCTGTAAGCTGGGCCTTACGACTCCCATCCAAACGACCAGGCCGGACCGTCACATCTCAACTTTAACAGGTTTCAGCCAATGCAGTCAATGTTGGAGCAAGGCCTCGACCAGCATGGGATCATGCAAATTAGCCCATAGAGTGGTTTATGATGTCCCGTCGCCATCGACCTCTCTCGCCCGTTTCATTGTCATCACCTTCCTGAAAAAGGATGACTGGCAACGCCGTCCGGTCTGTTCGTCCTGCGCAATGGCACATCTTGTGAGGCTGTCGTTCGGGGACATGGCAATGTCCAAGGAGTACTTTGTAGAACCACACCGCAGTGCCTGTGTGTTTGTCTGCCCAACTCTGTAAGCAGTCAGCCAGTGTGTCGCCTTTCCCCCCCTTTTTCACGGCAAGAGACATTTCAGCGTGTTTTGGGGCCTACACACTCCGTACTCCCCAACTCCGTAACCTTTTCTGTGCTGTATGTACAATACGACACTGTCTACCGTCTCACATCAGCGCCAGTGAAACGGTCCCGTCTGGCGCGCAGAATCCGAACATATCCGTTCCACCACTCGAGAGTCGACAAAGGAGAGGTGGATCTGGTGGTTGAGAAAAGTGGTCCGTCCAATCCTTGCTGCTGGTGCCGTGTTGTGCTTTGGTCCTCCGCCTCTCTTCCAGGGCTCCTCGCCTTTTCGTCTCCTTGTCCAGCGGCCAAGGCCTGCCGGTTGGCCTGCCAAGGTTCCGACGGGCATCTGGCAATTGCCCCGTCAGGCCAGGCCAGCACCCGGATCTTGGATCATTGAGACAAAAGTGGACGGCTGCATGCTGTTGCGCAAGTGACTGGCTGACTGACGACTGGAAATCGAATCCCGAGCAAGCAGACTTTGGAAAGGCCCCCCTCTGGCCCCAGCTGTGCATGACCGCTAGCCAATGGCGTCGTCTCCCTCGTACCCGTTTTCTCCGCCCCCCCTTGCTTGCCATGCCTCTCACGGTCCTGCTCCATCTCCAACACGGGCTCTGCCCACTTCTTGCTAGGTTCCCGAAACGAACACCCACCTCAGTCCCCCGTCGTTAGTTCTCGATTGGTGTTTGTTCGGCGCTGACTCTGGACCTGACGGTGGTAGTGGTAGTGACACTCTGGTGCATTCAGCCAAGCGCACCGCCATGGCGCCAGCCAGCAAACAGTCTGCTCCGCCTCCCCCCAAGTCCCGTTCCATCTCGGTGATGCTCAGAGAACGTTTGTCACTGCCATCACCACGCACCCAGAGTCCTCACAACGAAACAAAAAACATCCGCAGTGTCTTCCACATAGACGGCTTCTCGATTCCATCAGTCACTATCGCCGGCTTGGCTGTTTGATGTATTTGTGGACTCAATAACTCAATACACGACCAACGTCTTGCCTGGATTGAGTCGACTCGACCCCGACCGACCACGACGGAATCGAATTGTTCTTCATATTTGATCAGCACGGCGTCGGCGTCGAGTGTCGACGGCCCTACCTGGTGACAGCTTAGGCGGGCACGAAGCGGCGCTGCTTCTTGCGGCTCTCTCGTGACTCCGTCACCAGCCGATGCCAAAGGCTGAGCGCCGTTTATCCGACTGTATTGCAAGACGACGCAAAGCCAACGTCCAATTCCCATTGTAATAATGCCTTCTACCGATAGGAACTCAACGTCAGAGAGGTCGGAGAGGAGGGCATCAACAAGGAGATCAAGACGAGTGTCGGCAGAAAATGCGCTCGGCGACGATGAATACGATTTGGCGACACACGCCGTCTCTGACGGTTTCCGCCCGGCAGTCAACAACCCGCCAGCTGTACCGAATCTGAACTCGCCTCCATCACCGCCGGCAAGTCGATTTCATTTGCCCAGACTTCCTCGGTCACCTCCACCCGTTGCGCCCAGCCCGATGAAGGGGTTTGCCGATTTCAACCGACCGTCAAGCACGTCCAAACCTCCACGCTTTCACGATTCCTTGACCCTTCGAAATGACGGGCTGGAGTCCGCTCGTGTAGGACAGTCATCTTCGTCGAGCAGCCCAGTGCAAGGCGATATTCTATATCAGGGCTCTACACCGCCGTCTCATCCCTATCAAATGTATCCCCAGAGGACGTACAGTAATGCTACCTCCTCTACCGGCCCTTCCTCAGAGACACTTGATGGAACCCGCGGTCCCACTCACCCATACGCTCTCTACACCCAGAGCACTACTACTTCCGAGGATCCAACTCAGCAGCGCATTCCCGTAGGCTTCAATGGCATGGGAAACGGCTACCGCAGGCAAATTGGGCCGGATGGCGAGGATGCAGGTGACTTGATCGGGCCGCTCGGTCACATGGAAGAGCTCCCACCATATTCACGCTATCCTGAAGAACCCTTTCAACATAAACCAGCAGCTGATTGCGACAACACTGTCTCAGCTGCCAATGCTACCGATGGGGCTGGTGCTAGAGCGAATGGATTAACAACTTCAACCCCGGCTCAGCCTATTCCCGGTGCTGGTGGAATTGGTCTTGCGACTCGGAACCCCGAGTTCTCCTCCACAGAAGACCTGGCTGGTATGCCTCGAGGAGCCGGATCCTCGATCCGCAGTAGGACTTCTCTGGAGAGCTATCACGAAATTAATGGTGCAGCCCGCGATTTTGCAGAAAAGCCAACCCTGAGCAAGTGGCAACGGAGGGCAAAAAAGAAGCTGTGGGGCGTTGTGCCGTACTGGACAATATGCCTGTTACTCGCTGGAATTGTTATCATGGGAGTGGTGATGGGTACTGTAATTGGGACTATTGTGACCAGACACAATACCTCTCCCAAGGGTAAAGGGTAAGTCAACAAACCGTATTTTACTCCTCCGCATTGGTTTACGGTATTAACTCGCTTGTTCCAGACAATCCGATAAGAATCAACCGAACACGAATAATGTTGTATTTCTGGAGCACCTGCCACAGGGTTTGCCTCCCCTGGCAACAGGTTGTTTTTCCCTTCCGCCAATGGACAAGTACAACGTGCCAAAGGCTTGTATCAAGGGCTTTGAGCAGAACGCCGCTTGGAATTGTGATATGCCTTTCCGCTGGTACTCGATGAACGTTACCGAACTTGCTGGTGCGGCGGATGTCTCCAACTATGCCATGAAATTTAGGCCTTTTGATCCCAAGGCCTCTAAATTCATCTACGGAACCCAGCCTCCGAACGTTCCTGACTTCGAGCCCATGCGACTGGTAAAGGACACGGAAGAAGTCAACCGAGGTCCGGCTTGGTTTCTTGAAGTGAAATACAACAAGACGGTCATGGTTCGGGAAGATCAGCTCGCACTTCCTAGTCCGTCGGGCCCTCAGCGGCGTTGGAATCACATGAAAGGACCATTCCCTGGCCTGGATAACTCTCGCTTCTCGAGAAAGGGACTGGCGGCCACGGAAGGCGACAAGCCATGGATCTGCACTTGGCCAAACGTTACACTGCAGGTCTTCGTGTACCCGAACCAGACATTCACACCACCGAAAACTACCTCAACACCCAGCTCGATCTCTTCAATGCCTAGCCCGTTCTCTCCTGCTCCACCGACACCAACGCCGGATGAGCCACCACTGCCCAAATTTAAGGAACCATATCCCAAACTAGTGAAATTTGTGGAGAGACGCTCATACAATAACGGCGACTACGCTCCAGCAACGTGTACGCAATACAGAATCACTAGTGATGGTCAGGATAAAGAACCTGTTATTGAGAATGGAATGCCTGTAGCCTTCATAGTCGAAGAAGTGGGCAAACCTGCCAAGGGGACTATCACGCAGCGTGTCAGTGACCCGATTCCTAGGGATATATTCTCCCTAGAGGGTAGAGGCGTGGACGTTACCCCCTGTAGCTGCATTTCATTCTCATGGTCTGTATAGTCAGTAGAGGAGATGTGAGATGGGATTTATTTGCACTTAATTAGCGATGGCTTGGTTATGTCGATATTTGACAAAACTCATAGGAGTATATACTGGATACCTAGATGGCTTTGTTACCATGGGTGGATGCATTAACGGCGTTTGTGTGGGACTCGACTTTTTACTATGCTCGTTGCGATTAGTTGCTACGAGGTACGATACTACTCTATTTTACCATGTATTTTTCAAATCATCCGCACGCCTTCACGTCACTCTTTACGCGGGAGGAATTGCCGGCTGCGATTTTACTCGAACTAGTCTGATCGATCTCATTCCCGGCCGTCGACGGTTCCTCCTTGTTCATATTGACGGCGCCAGCGTTACTATCGGTTCGGACTCACAAAACTGTATCACCAGTTTTTTTTTTTTTTTTGCACCTTTTCGCGACTTGCTTCCTTTTTGCTACCAACGGAGGGTCAAATGCTTTGCACTATTTTCTACTTGTATCTAGATCGGATGTGGGCGGATTTATTCAAGTGAATGAAATGTTTGATGGAATTGGACTATACGAGAGTACTGTGGTTAATTATAGCAGGAGACGAGAAGAGATGGAGGGTATTATTGAGAGGCGACTTTTATAGGATGCATAGTAATGAGGCGAAGATAAGAACAATGAATACGATTCTTACATTAACATGACACAGTCTCTTTGATTTCTTTTATTCGTGATACTGAAGTATATGTCTGACTATCTGTATACGCTGTAGAGCCTCGACTTTGGGAGCTCCGGCTACCTAGATACGCACGACTTGATCTGTCCCTGCTGGCACTTTTCAAAACTATCATGATTCTGGTCTATGTGTGTTGTTATTGGGCCCCATGTATGGAGTAGCATGCATGCATATTATCGAGGCCTTTTCCTGTTCGGACTCTTAGGCAGATCGACAAACAGTGCCCCGGGCCAGGCTGACTGGGGGTCCGAGAAGGCAGGCAAGAACAAAAGGAAGAAAAATAAGCCTTCAATAAAATGCCGTCTCGGCCAGATGCCGAGCACAACACATGAGTGGCTTGACATGACGCATGGCCTGCAATGTATTGGGATGGATGAAGGGCATCTCGATTGGAGCGGCATCCACAGCTAAGGCCGAGTGATATATGCTTGTTTTGCGGTGTGTTTGAGACTGGCCTGAAGCCACATGCAGTCATGTCGTTGGCTGCTGGTGGTCCGACGGCTGCTCTTCATCCTGCGTTGCGCGGATCTCATTGTCGACAATGTCCTTCCGACCATCTCGGAAGTCCCGCATGAGAGATAAAAATACCGAGTTTTGCCACTTTTCGCCGTTTTCATGCTGCACTGATTCGAGGAGGCGCTCTGCTGCTTCCGAGACGGCAGATTTCCCTTTAGCTGCGGCCTCGTCGTGGATTACTTGTTCTACTTCGGCCGCCGGGAGGTGGTCTACCTCCCGCTCTTGGAGCGTTAAGTTGCCAATCTCAGGTGTTTCAAGATCTGTGTAGCGTGAACTCGATTCTACTTGTGGGATTTCTTGGGGAGCCGTAGATTCCGCCTGGGCAGGAAGAGTCGCTTCGTTGAGTTCAAGCTCGCGGGCCATTTGCTCCATTACAGCGTCGACTTCGGACATGTTTCCACCACCGTGGTTGGACATCCATTGGGACATTTCTTTGTCGAAATCAGCTTCGACGGGGGCTTGGGGTCCCATGAAACCAGCTGCGCCGGAACCATACATGGGGCCTCCGAATGCTTGGCCAAAGGCGGACTGGAAATTCATTTGCATTGGGTGTTGATTCATTTGCATAGCCAGTGAGGGAGCGGTGGTTGGAGGAGACCGCATCTGTTGGCTGGAGAAGCGATTGAAGTCGGCTGCCCAGTTGCTCACGTCAGATACAGGGGATGCTCTGGCTTGTTGCGATAGCTCCGGATGGTGCAACGGTGCGACAGGTTGTTGAAGAGCAGCGGCGTGGACGGCTAGGCGATTCGCTGGGTCATGAGACATGCCGGGGATGGTGGATGGTGTTGCGTCCATGAAGGCGCCGAAGCTGTCTTGTCCTGGGGATTCGTGACGAACAGATCGGAAGGACTGGAGGCATAGATATTAGTACCCGGCCCATGAGCATAAGGAAGCACGAGAAGCGAAACATACGCCGTGAGGCTGGCCGGCGGAACGGTCGACTAGGCGATCCTGGTGATGGCTGACATCTCGGGACTGGTGGTCTACGAGGCGCTTGAATGGCGACGGGCCACTACATGAAGCGTCCGCCATGCTGGAAAGTATGCGTTTGCGACTTGAGAGCACTCGAGGTGTCTGGTAGGAAGAATGCGATGGCAACGTACACGAGCAGAGCGACAGCTGGACAGTGACGAGATGCCTCGGTGCAATGGTGGAGCGGGCCGATGGAGCGGCGACGGCGATGTCGACTGTAAGACGACGAGGGAAACGGTACAGTTACTGCTGCAGCATGACCGTCGTATGGCAAAGCAGAGCCAGTGGACACTGTTGCAATACAGAAAGGATGAATCGTGTGTTGCTGGTGATTTGAAATGAAGACCCCAAGTGGTGGCCGAGGGGCGCCACCCACGGAAACATGGGGAACATTCGTCCTGCGGCGTCGGCGTCGGCGACTTGCCTGTGCCTGTGATCGCGGGTAGTTGCTGCCTCTTTCGGTAGCTTCCGAGGTTCGAAGCTGACACGGAGGAACCAGTTCAAGTGGCCCCCGGCTTTTATTGCCCCAGATTTTTTTTCCGCTGCATCGTCTGTTGCCGGCGGTCATGTCTAGATCGGGTAACCAAATGTTCTTGATGCTTGCTCATTATAATGAACTGAATGACACGGGGCTGTTGAGCATTCATTTAATTTCTGTATTTCCTTCGCTATGAGTTTGAATGTTGTCAGCTACCCCAACTTGAGTGTAGAATGTTATGTGGATGCCAACGGGTTCTCAAACAGCAGTATATTCCTTGATAATAATTGGATTCATTTTTTTATTGATTCGCATTTTTTTCAGCCTGTAGGAAGCTGGCTTCCTGTTCTTACAATTGGTGTCTCGATATTATGAGCTACGGCTTGCCTGCCAAGTATGAATTCCAAGATATTCCAGAGAACTCCGTACGGCGCTAATAGATGGGCCTCAGCGGGGTACTTAATCACGTGAAGCGCACAGTAACAAAGTGGGTTGCGGACAGTTGGCCTGGTGCCGCAGACAGCCAGCCAGATAGGAGAGGCCCACAGGCACCAGCTACTGTTCATCCACCACGAGCTAGACTGTTGATGCAAGACCGTGTCCTTTCCGCATCACGACATTTGCCTTTCCTATTTTATCTTGCCTACGCACCTTTCCTTTCTCTCCATTGTGCATCGGCGTCGATAATTTGACGCTCTAATATATCAGAATGGTATTTCACGCCACCTCCCCGCATGCTACAAGCTCCAAGCATCGATGCTGAGCTGCCCTAGTTTGATCCTTACTAGCTATACTAACATCAACTGGTACAGGCGGCGCAAGTCATTGCCAACTCTGGTCACGATGACATGATTGTATGGTTTATTTGATCCCTATATCATTCTCCAGGTTTCAGCAGCGCTCCGATAACTTACTGCTTGTCGACGTGCCGCGTGCGCAAACTTGGTCCTGGTCGTCAACCGAGAAACTAACCGTTCTTTGATAGCACGATGCCGTCCTCGACTATTACGGTCGCAAGCTTGCCACGTGCTCGAGTGACCGCACCATCAAGATTTTCGAAATCGACGGCGAGTCGCAGCGGTTGATCGAGACTTTGAAAGGGTACGATTGGCCCTGAACAGACGAGCTGCGACTGCCTGCTGCGCGAGAAACATGGGCTAACATATTTGTGTCGAATTTTAGCCACGAAGGTGCTGTCTGGTGCGTGTCTTGGGCGCATCCCAAATACGGTAACATCCTCGCATCGGCGGGATACGACGGCAAGGTATTCATCTGGAAGGAGCAAGGCCAAAACAACCAGTGGCAAAGAATCTACGACTTCCCCCTACATAAGGCTTCCGTCAACGTGGTCTCCTGGTCTCCCCATGAAGCCGGCTGCCTCCTCGCCACCGCTTCGTCCGACGGCAATGTGAGCGTTCTCGAGTTCAAGGACACGGCCGTCGATCACGCCACGTTCCCTGCCCACGGCCTGGGGGTCAACTCAGTTTCGTGGGCTCCTGCTACTAGCCCCGGTAGCATTGTTAGCAGTGCTCCTGGACCCGGCTCCGTTGGCAACCGACGATTCGTCACAGGTGGCTCCGACAATGTCCTCAAGATTTGGTCATTCGATCCCGCCTCGCAATCATACAAGCAGGAGGGCGAGCCTCTGACTGGCCACACCGATTGGGTCCGGGACGTTGCCTGGTCACCTACGGTCTTGCAAAAGTCGTACATTGCTTCGGCTTCCCAAGACAAGACAGTGCGTATTTGGACGTCAGACCCCTCTAGTAACGGCCAATGGGACTCCAAGGTCCTGAACTTTGATGCACCCGTCTGGCGAGTCAGCTGGTCTCTGAGCGGAAATGTCCTGGCAGTTAGTGGCGCGGACAACAAGGTCTCATTATGGAAGGAGAACCTGCGGGGCGAGTGGGAGTGTGTCAAGTCGATTGAGGAGTAGCTGATAAAATATTGGCCCAGGATGGGCTCGGGTTGTACGGCGGAGATGAAGAAGAAAGGCAGCCAGATGGACTTTTACTTTGAGGCAGATTTCGCAAGGCGTTTCAAGGTAGAAATGATGAAGAGCCCAGTAATATGCTGCGCATGATCACCACCTCACCTTATTCCCTGTTCCAAAGCTGTTTGTTCTGTGTGCGTCGCTCGGTACTGTTTACTTGACACTGATTGTGGACACAGAGAGCAGTGAAAGCGCCAGGCCAAAATAAGTCCAAGTGTTTAACGCTGCATATATTTCTATACACTGTCTACCTGGTTCCAGGCAAAATTTGCCGACAAACCGCCCCAGTAGCAAAGGCTAACATCTCCAAGTGCCGATTCCATCCAGTCGTCATATACCCATTGCTTTTTCTGGAGAGGATATGTAATTTTCACAAATCATGACCGTTTTTACAGCCATCAGGCCCACGCCTCATCTATGCCAAAAACAACCCGGCCACAATGGCCGCCAAAACCACCGCCCAGGCCGCCGCCTTGTCTGCCACGAGCGAAGGCGAGCCGGTGCTGCCGCCTCCGCCGCTCGACGTTCCGTTCTGGTGCAGAACAAATATCTCGCCCGTGCTGTCGGAGCTGAACCACAGACGGCCCTGGGAATCCCATGCCAGGCCGACGGGGCGGAAACATGCATCGGGGCACTTTGCCAGGTCTGGGGTGGACAGGACATCCACGGCGGCATCGGTTGACGACTTTTGGGCCGAGGGTTCGCCTTTGGAGGTGTCGAAGGCTACGGATGAGATGCGGTAGCCGACGGGGTTCTTGGTGGCCCCTGTTTTTGTTTCACACGGTTAGATGACGGTGAGGAAGAGCGCTACAGGGCGGAAGAGAGAGAGAGAGAGAGAGAACGGCTCGACTTACAGCTTCCGTGGAAAGATATAAAGGCTTTGGCGCCGTCCTTGGTGAACTTGATGTCGAGAGGCGCGGCGTGTGCCTGCAAGGCCAGTCTCGGCGCAACATAGTCCTTGGTGCAGGTTGCGTCGGTGAAGGTCTCAGCGTCCGGGCCGGGGAACTGGTCGCCGGGCTTGAGACCGCCCAGGTCCGGAAAGCCAGTCGTGTTCCAGAGCGCATAGCACATTGGGAACCCGTAGTTGCCGCCGCGGTCCTTGTCGGTCGAGGGATCGTCCAGCACGCCGTGGTAGTTGAGCTCCTCGCCGGGGTTGCCGGCGTGGATGTCCCTGCCGTTCCTCGCCAGCTCGTCGACCGAGTTCTCGACGGACCAGATGCCCCCCGTTGCGGGATCCTCGGCGACGCCAACCGAGTTGCGAAGCCCCGAGCCGAGCAGGACGCCGTCCATAAAGTCGTGCGGCTCGCTGCCTTTGCGCTGGGACGAGACGTCAAAAGCGCGGATTTGGGCGTGTCCGGAGTTGGGGTTGCGCGCCTTGTTGTCCTGGTCGTTGACGGTGCCGCGCGACACGACAAGCATGCCCGGCCTCTTCTGGGACATGAGCAGGGTGCGGGTGGTCTTGTCCGTGTCGCTCATGTTGGCGACGACGGTGTAGTTGGTGTCGCTGACGGTGGCGGCCTTGCTGTCGTACGTCCAGGCGTATACCCTCGACGAGGAAGATGCGTAGAGGACCTTGCCGTCATTGGAGAGCGCCAGGCCATGGTTTAGCTACGGACCGGACGGACGGGCCTCATTGTTAGTATCAAGCTCCTGAGGTGGTGGTTGCCTGTCGCACCGCAAGACGGGGAAATCAGACGACGAGAATGCAAAGCTCACCTCGGTGCTGTTGATAAGAGTCTTGGGCGAGCTCATAACCACACACGTCTCCCCTTTATCCTGGTCAACCGTCAATCTATACAGGCCAACGCCGGCGTCCACAACCAGCAGGCCGCCATTGTCGTCGAAAACAATGCTCCGGGGCTTCTTGAAGCCCTTGGCAACGAGTCTATATGTCCAACCCTTGGCTGCCACGGGGGCTGGATACGACACGGCCAGGGTGTTTGGACAGCCAGAACCATCCCGGCTGCCTAGTATGCTGGGTATAAATTGTGCTGTCGCCGAGGCAGCCCAGACAGCGACGAGTGCTGATCGGAGGGACATGGCCGTAAACGGTGGTCCAGACGATGATCGCAAATGAAGCACATGGACTTGGACGTGCACAAATACAGCACCGCTAAAGGAAGAATGAGGAGTTATAATGCTTATCAATTTATTTTAAAAAAAGGGTGGAAATGCGGGATATCGTCAGTCTGTGAAGCAACAGGTTGACTAGTAACTACAGTCTGGTCCGATTATCTGCACCATCAAAGTGGCGTCTCGGTTGGACCAGACTTCACACACAGGGTCTGCTACTTTCGCAAAGTGGGGGAAGCAACAAGATTAAAGCGTCTGAGTGGATTCAATATTCCCAATATTTCCCTACGGCAAGCTGCAATGTCTTGGTCTAAATTGGTTGAGCTAGTACCGCATGTAGCACATGGAAAAAATATGCCAAGGACATGCATGGATTGCCCGCTCGAGAGCCCCATCCCATTTCAGCTGAAATAACCAACACTCTCACAGAGACTGAACTGAGCTGACACCACTAAAACAAAAACATGCGAATTGGTGTCTTCTCCAGACCAAGCACAGCTAAGAGCCGTGCTTCCTGCTACTCGATACACTGCTGTCTGCACTCATGTACTCAAAGAAGCCAACACCATGATTGCATCAATTCTCTTTAGTATAAACCCCTTCCTAGTGACGGCCGTCTAGTTTGCCTTCATCGTCTTGAATAGTCTTAAATGTCCAATGACCAAAAAAAAAAAAAATGACAGAAAAGAAAAGGGGGTAACCTGCATACATGTTGCTTGATGACCAAAAAAAAGGGGAGCATGGGAAAAGTGCAAACCCTAAGAAAAATAGGAAACAAAAAAGAGGAAAAGAGTGAGGGAGAGACAAAGCAACCTTATTATGCGAATTGCCTGGGTTCAGAAGTTGCACCATTCCGGATGACGCCTGCAAACGTAAACAAACCAAACTACATCAACCGCACAAACAAGTGCTACGCTTTGTATAGGCCTTCTTCATATTGGCCTCGCTTTTTCACAACTCGGTTTCAACACCGATTGCCACGACCACAATTACCTTAGCGGAGTCCAATCACGCTCATCTCCAATGTCCAAACGCGTCGAATCCAGACTTTGAGCTTGCCTTGAACGCCATCAACATTGTCCAACTCGACGCCCTCCCACCAGCATCTTCTCGCAGGTTTCCTCCAGAACAGCAGCAGTTTCTGTGCCATGCCGACGGCATTCGTTCCCATGTCGTTTCCCCTAATATCGCTGCGCAGCCGTGCCAATGCCAGACTGCAAATGACGGCCTTGTTTGGCTCCCCAGCTCGATGGCCCCATGTGTCATCGTGATTGAACCCACTAGTGGCTACTCGTTAGCAACGGACAAAGCATATGAAACAGTTTCATCATTCCTTACCCTGCTGTCAGCATTTCGATAAGATGCGCTTCCGTCGTGCCAGGTTCATCGCTACGCTTTAATCCTGAAAAGATGCCGTCTTGCCGCTGCAATGCTTTGGCAGCCGCACGCTTAACCTCAATCATATCTGGCTGGCTAATATTCGCTTGCGGAGGGATAACGTAAAAATCCAAGTCTTCTCTCAAAACGATAATGCCTGCTCTCTTAGATGAATCGTCTCGTGACCCAAGGGGTTCTACAGACATAGCATCTCCATCCTGCGATGCACCAGGCGAAGATTCGGCGGGTATCGTCTGGGCCACGTTTCTAAAAAAGTCCAACATGTACTGCAATGACACCGGATCATACTATAGATAGGGTTAGCCCCAGTGGCAATTTTTGCTAGACCGAAGCCACTCACATCGACTTGCACGGCATCATTCTCAGAAAAACCGGTCATATGCCCCTCTGGAAACAAGCCATTCGGAAACAGGGACAGCAGAACAAACTCTGGCAGTGTCAAAAGTTCATCCCGTGAGAGGACAAATCTGGTACCACTGTAGCCACCGGTTAGCACGGCGTGAAAGCCTAGGCCCTGGTGAACCCATGACTTACCGAAGGTCCATTGCGATTGTCTCGTCAGCCCCGACATCTAAACAAAAAGAGTCAGCATTGTCTTAAAAAACCACACATTACATCATTTCTCACCTCCAATCGCATTGATGGGTGGCCCCCCTTGTTGGACCTGAGTAATGATACTCGCAGCGCCTCCTGCGGCCGACATGACGTATGTGAATGCGTGAAGAGGACTGTCGCCCTCTGAGTACGCCGGAGGTGGTTCTGCGTCTTCGTCCTTACGACCAGGCTCTGCTTTTGTATCCTGGGGAAGAGCTCGTTTGGTTTCCTCGACGGGGTCGTAGAAAGCTCTTGCGGATGTCCCGTCAGGCTGGAAGGGCGACGATTCGAGCGGTGGGCAGCTGGAATAGGCAGGAGCAGCTACGGACCCAGATGCACAGGCTTCTGTTGATGCGGCGCCAACAACCTTGCTAGACGATTCACCAGCGGTGTCGATGAGCGGCGCAAAGAGCGAGGAGAAGGGTGGAGGGCGAGAGGAAGAGGACGCCTCCGAGGCGGGATATTGCGGCGGAGGGGACTGTTCGGTTTCGTTCTCCGTAGTGGCTGCAGCAACGTCGTCGTGATCTTGTGAAAATTTGTCGTGTTCGTGCTCAGGATGCACTACTCGCTCAGCAAACTCCAACTTGGAGGACACAGAAGGCCCGGTAGCTGCGTCCTGTGACTCGGACAATGTGGCGGATTGATCGCGAATACCGGGCGTCACGGTCCGAGATGAGTGAAAAGCGCGCCGAATCGATTGAGCGGCGTCAAAAGTACTGGCTTCGATTTGTGCGACCCGAACGCCAGGATCGTCTCTGAGAGTAGGGGAGGAGGTTACTTTTGGACGATTCGAGTGGGCTACTAACGGTGCTTGGGCAGACTTGAGGACAGCATCGGGCCGGACGTGGCGTGAAGGATAGAGAGAATCCACGTGTAAAATTGTTGTAAATGGTAGAATGTTGAATTATCGGATGCAATGCCTTCAATATACCGGTGTAACGTGTCGGCAAAGACAGGTTTGATGATGTCTGGTGCTATGAGGATTGTTCGGCCAGGATGTGAAGGGGTGGCCCAAGGTGTGGCTGGGTGTGTGAATGGGCGGTTGTGGTTGGTGGTTTGCCGTGGGTGACAACATTCAATCTTGACTGGGAGCAGCCCCAGCCCCGTGATTGGGGGAAGGCGCGGTCCTCGACCCCAATAATAGACGGGGTGAACCACTAAGCTTGTGCGGTGGAATCCCAGCGCTTAGCTCCATCTACTTAAGCATTACGGAGTAGGAGCATTAGGCCGGAGGAGCAAGACATGGACGGACATGGAAGGGGCGACCAACTGACCCCCGTGCCTCGGCCACTTTTCAGATTGATCTGCTCAGCCAGCCTCCGACATGACCAAGACTCATCATCAATGCAACACAGAGATGAAAATGCAACCCATTTTGAGGCCTTCCTGGCGAGCCAACTGGATTCTGTGTGATACGCTGACTGCAGGATCGCCCGCCAGAGGTGCATGTACAACCGCACAATCCAGACTTGACGTCAACAGAAGCAAATTCTGGCCACAGCATCGACTACGTGACTACTCGGCAGAGGACACTGAGGCATGCTGGAATCCACGGAGATGGGAGAGCAAGTTATGACAACGGCCCCGAGACGGCAACATTTCGCAAGCGACTGAGCCGATATGGTGAGATTTGGCGTCCAGTCGAGACTGGCACTCTCCTGCGGCAGTCGTGAGACCTCCTCAGAAGCACGGAAACGCCTAACTTTAGGGAAACCCTAACTGTGACGGCGGCGGATACAAGTTACATACATGTGCCATACGTGAAGAGTGGCCGAGTTTTGTTTTGCGTGTTAAAATACCCCGCGATGAGGCACTAGTCCTCCCCAGATCACCTGAGACACAAAGCCTTTGTGAACTGTCCTGATCTCCGCGAAAAGACTTTATATTGCTTTAGTGGCAGTCTCAGCTCCTTGAAGCCAATGGCGCCTTTCAGATATCTGTTTCCTGGTTTGAGAGCAGCCAGGTCATGCGCTTTACGGCATGGCATCTTGCCGTATCAGGATGCCCTCGGCTGCGAGCCTCTTCCTTAGGAGCCTTGCAAGCCCAGATGGGTTCATGGTGAGTTTGACTACAAACATGACGGTATTACCATTCTCAAGGGGCTTCATCTTGGCAGTTTCACAACTGGTTTTTACCGTCACATTATTTAATATGACGGCTGCGTATAATAACACACATGCCTGGTCTGTTCCAGTGGTTGCCTTCGCAATTCTACGCAAACCGAGCATGTTCACTCTTTAATACAATAACCCTCTTTTACTCATCATCAATAATACCATATTTACATTAAGGTTTCTTCAACTTGTGTTTTATTTTCGGCCGCACAAACTCCACGACTAACTTGCTCTGTGTACAATTTGCCCTCATCAGCAATTATGCAGCTTAGTGTGTTCGGTTTAGCAACCCTCGTTTTCTATGGTCCTCTTGTCGGATATGCCCTTGATCTTGATTCTATTTTTGCTGAAGTCAGCGCTGTGAATCGGGATTTTGAGAACATACTGCGCGTCTTGTTACGGCAAGCCCTTCGCCATGATGACCCTCAGACTATCAAGGTGAGTAGCCGCTGAACAGCCGCAATCAACATGACGCCGTCTTACATTCGAGTAGGAAGTCTGTAAATTCATTGAAAGCGCTACAGACAATCTGAATACCGCTTCTGACAAAATCGGTTTCGACTCAAATGTCGACGACCCCTCGGATGTCGTCGCGGCCTTCTGTGATGATATGGAGACTGTGAGTTGAGACAAGCAAGATGTACGATGATACATTGAGGTCCTAACGGTGTATTAGTTTACAAATACTCAGATTAAAGCTGCTGATATTCTTGTGTTCAAAGCGGCCAATATTTGGGATGCCATGAATGGCGCTCAGCTTCCAGATGGCATTGTTCGACTCAGCTCCGCATATGACAAATATGCTGGCAACATGATTCCACTTACAGAACGTTGCACGACCAAGCACATGCAGAATATTTACTTGGTCAAATTAACACTTCACAGAGTGCTGGTGGATCTGGAACCCAACAATGGGCACCATCGAAGGGGGACACACCATGGCTAGGCGAGAGGCCATGGGCTGAAGGACCTTGTGAATGAGCAGCCAAAAATCCGCCATCACGGCTTGCCTGGCGCGATCGAATGGTTCTATTTGCTAGGGCTCCTTTGCGCCTGCGCCACGGGATACCTCGCTGGGTGAAAAGGAAAGTGAACCAAGCCGAAAGAAACTATTCGACTTTGTGCGAACGGCCACTGGCTTTCCATTCCACAGTCGCCGCGGCTGCACCGTAGACTACTACATGATTCAGCCTGAGCTGGCATTGTTGCTGTGAAGATACGCAGATCTGTGATACTCACAACAAGAACAAAACAGAAATCCTCTTATTGTCAGATACTAAGTCGACTTTATCTGTCATGTCGGAATTTTTGAGACAGATATCGCTGCAGAAGTCCATGGGCAGAGGTATTGCGCATCATGAACAGAGCTCAATCGCGCTGGCTTTCAGAAGTCGAAGCCATATGCACTCTATGAGCAATTCCCATTGGTACTCTACACTTTGAATGGTCAAATGGTTGCGCGTGCCACCAAGACAGCCGTTGCTACTATCCTGAATGTTAACATGTGCTTAGGATGAATTGTTTGAACTAGTTGATGACACGAAATACTACATCCGCAAAAAATATTATTAATAAAACAAAAGATCCTGTTACCATGACAAAAGTTTCAAGAAAGCCATATATACCAAGTGCCGTCTAATTGCTCTGCAACCAAGGTGAAGACGTCGCCCAAAAGATGATGCGTATCTTCAACACATTATGTGCATAGTCCACAAATTCCTCCTTGGTGAATTTCATTCCAGTCCGAGGATTGAGCTCCTCGAGATCTGGCTCCTGCACAGCGACGACAGCGACGGGCACTTTATCGTGATATTTGGCAATGAACGGATACGAGTTGCTAACCTGCGCCTTCTTGAAGGGGATAAGATCTGGTCCGCCAACACCAACTCCATGCTCTGCGTAAAAGTCGAAGGATTCAGTGAAGCGGTTGTTGGCGTCGTTCCATCCGTCTGGCCAAAAGTTCACGTATTGCACTATATATGTCTTGTTGAAGACCTTGGCGGCGAATCCGGCGTTTTCGAGTTCGCCGCGAAAGTAGGCCTCGTTGGTAAAGTTGTCTTGGCTCTGGTTTACCGCGATGGACGTCTCGGGTAAGTTGAGGCCGGTGATTTTGCCGTCGAGCTCCTCGGACAAGGCACTTAGAAGCGCTTGATACCGCCTTCTCACCTCGGGATTCCACTGCTGTGCCATCCATCCGTCGACTTTGAAGTCGATGTCACATGCTTCGCCGTCGCAGGTCGGTGCGCTACCGTTGTTGTATTGCGGCGTGTGCATGTATTTGGGGACGGGGTCGTTGGTGGGAGAGAATGTTCTGTCTTGGAGTTGGACCCAGAGCTTTTTGCCCTTTGCTTGAACACGAGAGATGTCGTTTTTGATGGCGGAGAAGTCGTATTCACCTTGAGAAGGTTCGAGGGATTTCCAGCTGTAGAGGGCTTGGACGCCAATGAGATCCGGGCTGTCTAGGAGTTCAAGGGCTTTGTCGTCGACTTGGCTGCTGTAGAGCCAGTGCTGGAGGCTAGAGGCATTGGAACCAGATGCTGGGGCGGCGACGGTTGATGCCGCAAGTGATACTAACGTGAGTAGGAGGAGATGCATTCTGGAGATGCCGTAGCCAGTTGAATGAATCAAGACTCAACGCAAGGAAATGGATCCGAAGACCAAGGAGTTGGAACTTGGAAGGATGGGAGGAAAGGGGGGCACAATCTGGTTATTGACATTTCTCAATGCCAAAACTTTAAGAGCGATGTTTCAGAACAGTATTATAGGAAAACTCTACAACTGTGTTGATGAGTCTTGTCGGATACGAGGTCTAGGATCCATCATCTGGTGATGGAGCTGTGGCTGTGGCTGACCCGCTGATCCCCCAATAGAATCGGTTGGTCGGGGAACAGGAAACCGGAGACTCGTAGACGCGATGGTTCATGCCCATGTTTTGCTCATTGGGCATTATTTTCGCCAAAACGACCGCTTCGCGGGTTGTTGGAGAGGATCGCTTCAGTGCGGAACACCTCACCTGACTGAGGGGACCATGGTCTCTCAAGAATAACAAGTTCTAGAAAAGTGTCTGTGAAAGCGGTGGACGAGTTCGTCAATTGTGTTAGCACTAGAGAGAGAGCCTGGTTGATCTCGTCCCGACCAAGTCCTTGGTTGATTTAGCTGAGGCTCATCTGCTAGCGACGTGGAATCCTTGAGTCCAAGTTTCTGGATGAATTTCAATTTGTAACTGATAAGTGACACAGTATTGTGTATTGGCCTCGTAGAAGGCTCAATGCTGTCACTATCGACCTACTTGAAGCCTCCTGGCCCGTTGGAAAGACTTGGTGCGAAGCCAAACCATACCGTGCATTCAGATCTGTCAAGGCAATTTCACCAGAATGTCATTTTACTTGGAACTAGACCATACTGACAATGAGACGGACCCCTTGCTCTTCCAGAACACACAATGTCATCACATAATAGTGTAGACGTGAGGTTGGCAATGACATACTGGCCTTGGTCTATTAACCATCATGACAACAATGGGAGAGTAAACCGTCAGCAGAGCTCCCCGAGGGCTCTAAAAATCCGACGAGGAGTAGATGGACGAGGTCCTTTTGCAGCCGTCCGCTCAACAACTAGGTGGTATGCCTGTAGGCTGTTCACTTTAAAGGCATGTTGACCTCCCCAGAGGAATAAACGAAATTTCCGGTACACTTCTTCGCCCCAGCCCGCGATTATTGCCTCCTTGGAGGCGTCAAGCCGTTTAGACCATTCCAGCATTGTGAGATGATAGTCTCGCGTCTCATTCGCAACACGCAACAGGTCAAATCCATGGTTCAGCAACTCCGCAATAACATCTTGGACTGTCATGAAGGTGTGCGTGCCGCGCCAGATGTAGTCTCGTGCGAAGGAACTGACGGCATATTTCTCAACGGCCGCCGACCCATCCAAGTAGAGCCGACCGCCTGGTTTGAGAATATCCCAGACCCTGCGAGCATACCTGCGATAGTCGGGCATGTGTTCTATGCTACCAAATGCAACAGCATGATCATATGGCTGCTCAGGGCGGTGGTTGAAGAAGTCTTCCAAAACCACCTCGCCGTACAAGCCCGCGTTCGAGATGAGCCGCCGTACATAGTGAGCGCCAGCTGCTGCAAGAGTCAAAGTTGTGACATGCACGCCTCGAGCAGAGCAATATTGCGTCACTCCGCCCCAGCCGCCTCCGATGTCGAGAAGCCGCATGCCTTGTTTCAGGCCTAGTTCAGAAAACATGGTCTCGAGCTTTCTCTGTGACGCTTGTTCAATCGTATCGTCTGGAGATTCGAACAAACCGTGGGAGTAGAGGCGGAAGGATGTGTCAAGAAAAGCCAAGTAAAACTCATCCTCGCGACCGTAGTGATTACCAATGGCATCCGCATTCATACTGGTTGTTGATCGAATAGAGTCCCATAAGAATTGTATCTTCTGTCGCAAAGGCACCTTGTCTTTCAGGCTGGATCTGGCATCGAAAAGACGGCCGACGTCCCCTTGGATATCGATGTCGCCTTTGATGAAGGCGCGGCCAACACCAAGTTCCGTCATGGGGGTCCGAACCGCCGCATCTGAGCGAAAGAATAGTTTGAAACTAGGAGGTCCATGACCAACTGGTATGATGAGGCCATCAGGAAAATGGACTTCCCCGGGTATGTTCAATTGCGCCACCAAGGCAGCGAGGCCGGTACGTGGAACGGTGATTTTGGCGAGCTCTTGAACCATTTTTCGGGCGTTGTCCTAAGCAATAGAAGTTTTCTTTCAGATCCCAGGGACAAATACGGCAAAAAGGATGAGTTGAAGAATTTAATGTTTGCACATCTTATTGTAACTTCTTCTGTGAAGAACCGCCTTGCTTTGGGCGGAAGCTTACTCAGGTTGTCGTCGAGCTGCCAGCGATGTACGATATCAGCAATATCCGTTTATTCATCACATTGAAAACCTTGCCACTTGGTTGCATAATTCGTCTGGATGACGCATGCCTGTCAATGACTAGGAATCCTGATAGGTCGGGGGCATGATCCGTCTGTCGGTTCCACCATGTGAACTCGCACAGGTGTTTGACGTGTCTCGGCTTTCCCATCGATGCCGTCACCGTTATATTCAGGGGACGTGTGATATGCCGCCTTGTCCGGAAATAGTAAATGGTGCTGATTCGGGGGGGCAAAGACTTGCTACAATACAATGCCTTGACTTGTCGTACGCACCGACACAACAAAGCAGGAGGAACCTCGTGTTCGTAATAGACACAGTAATAGGTGCGGCCGGGTGTCCTGAGACATGCCCATATTCAGTAGTCGCACGTAGTCAGTTTGCGGTGTGCACACTGCATAATGGGAAAAGACTTGACTTGCATGGGTATTGCGGGCTTAACCTCAGCCTCACACTCAAAAAGAGTAAGTTGCATGCTGGATTTTATGATATGGATTACTTGTTCGAAAATCAACATTAACATACTTTCACACTCCACTCCGGGACACAGATTAGGCCGGTCGAGTGGCCGTAAATAACGGGAGTCGTGAGATGTCTGATCGGAAGCATCATCAGCGGCGAGCGCTGTCGGTAGGGAGTCGGGACATTGCAGCCACAATCTGGGGAATGCTGTAGTATGAACCGTGAAATGAAATAAACCCGAATCGTTATTTCATTTTATTATTTAAAGTCTGCTGCTGGAGTTTGACCTTGAAATGCCTGGCAACAAATGCTTCGCAAAATGCCTCCATAGTCTCGCAAAATACCGAAGCCATATAGTACGACGGCTTCGAAAACATGTTCCTCCAAATAGGGTTTCCGAATCTAGATAAGCTTTACTGAAACCTAATCGACTGTAAAACTGTAAAAAGGCGCCCAAATATTTAGGTTCACTTCATTATACCCAGCCCTTCTCATATAAAAGAGCCGCGGATGCCGGAAGCCGATCTCCGCTGCCGATTTTGTCCGCTCCGCACATGTCCGGCCTGGTGGCCTCCGCTTGACCTCCGCCTTGCCGCACACGACAAACAATGCCTGCCAAAAATTGGAAAATGAATAAGTGGTGAAAATATGATGCTTGAATTATTTGCCTATAGAAATATCACGACAGTTGGTCTGATACAAGCTGAAATAGCTGAACAAGGGTCAATTCTCTTTATAACTGGCACTGCACAATGCTTCATTCTGGAAGCCGACGAAAGTATCGCGGAAAATTCATTCTCAATTCAAACTCTGCTATCTCGGAGTAGGTCAAGTCAACGGCGGACATCAGCCTCACGGCGGAGCAAGGCGGACCATCACGGGCCTGGCGGGATGAAATACGACATCTTGAGGACTACAAATAGGAGAGTCGAACAGAAATATCCTACCTCATGACTTTTCCAAGATCCAGAGCAACTAAAGCACCTCCACAGATCTAATCACTATCTACAAGCATGACGTCCACAAAACTTGTCACTGTATATGGTGCCACCGGCCAGCAGGGCAGTAGTGTGATCAACTCCCTTTTAGAGAACAAGTCTGGAGAGTTTGCAATTCGCGCCATCACAAGAAATCGCGATTCCGATAAGAGTAGGGCATTCATCTCGAGAGGTGTCGAAGTTGTGAACGGGGACGGATTTTCTCAGGACCAGATGAACAATGCTTTCAAAGGGAGTTGGGCTGCATTTGTCAACACAAATAGCTCTGATCCAGTAGGTTCCCAAACACGAAATGTACTGCCATACACGGAACTAATTGGACAGCTGCTAAACCGGCCCGGAGGCATGGCGGAAAGAGACCTGGGAAAAATCATTGTCGATGGCGCATTCGAGGCCGGGGTTCAGCATTTTGTGTACAGCGGTCTCGTTTCTGCCAGCCTGGCGACGAATGGACAAGTTCCCAGTAGCTCTTTTGATGGTACGATGGCGGAAGAATCTGACATTGCCCTTCCCAAGCTGACATTAAACTAGAAAAGCACGCAATTGGAGAGTATGCCAAGTCCAAGGGATTTAAAAGCGTCGTCATCGTTAGCGCGGGTTGGTACATGGAGAATCATACCCTTCCCGAGTTTGTAGAATTGATGGGAGGGTTTCCGTTCACCGCCGATGCAGACGGATATCTTAGCCTACGACTTCCTCGTATTGGCGGGGACGACAAGCTCCCCTTCATTGCCATGAAGGATGACTATGGCGACTTGGTTCACGGCGTTCTTCTGCAGCCGGAGACTTATAATGGTCAACTCATCCAAGCAGCTAGTGAAATGGCTAAACCCGACGAACTTGTGGCAAAGTTCCAGAGAAGTAAGTACTTCAGCGGACGTAACCAGAAACGAGGTATACGCTAACGTGGAGCAAGTGACGGGAAAGAAATCACGATACATGGCTATAGAGGATTGGAGGACAATTGAGACGTACGGCAGTCCTGATGTCGAGGGATTGAAGACAATGTACGGCTTTTGTCAGTACGTTGATGGAAAATACTATGGCGTACCTAGCAGTTTGGAACAGGCCAAGGAGCTCAAGGCCAAGGCAATTGTGGCCAAAGGGTTGCCAAAAGAGGAGTATCCGCTTCTCAATCTGGAGGAATTTATCAAAAAATATTTGATCACTTAGAGTCTCCTTGGGCTTCGCCCCTGGTGAGCGCAGGCCGAGCCGAGAAACAAGAGGGCACGAAAAATGACTAAACAGGCTAGACCGTGTCGGTAGAATTTGATACTACTTTAATATAGTGTTTTTTACCTTGTACAATTCAAGTGTCTAATCAAATACTGCCAACGGCCGTCCAACCCTTTGAGCACGAGAAATACATCTGGTGGTGGTGTAATGCCAGGCAAAGATTGCGGCTCGACACAGTTCCCGGATAAATTATGCCGAGTCCCAGCTGAATAGATTCAAATTATAACTGGGCTGCACTTCGAGACGATGATTGGTCGGGAGAACTGCCGTGGTCTTGCATCACATTGTCAAAACGCCGCTAAAATCGCGACATGGAACATCGTATGCAGTTTAGGGTGTACTGTAGCTTAACATCAATTAATTACGATCCGCGACAAACACTGCCTCCAGTGGGAGCTGGCAAATGTCGCGAGAATCATGTTTCACTTCGTCAGTTCAGCTCATCGTCATGTGAGCCTATAAGACGGACGTCGAATCCCTCCACCAACCACCTTTTGCTACTCAAGCTGCTATTTCACATCAATTTGTACACATCTCCTGCCTCCTTACCAACCTGTACAAAGCGTTTCCGATACTTGGTATCTTGTATTTCATCATGAAGTGCAATTCAATCGCCTTGGCCGCCCTGGCCTTCATTGCCGGCAGTGTTATTGCTGCCCCAGCCAATATCGAAAGCCGAGATATTCCCTTGCTCGGCGGCCACTCTGGTCCTCTCCAAGGACTTGGCGAGACCCTCGACAGCATCGAGAAGCTGGTTCCCGGTCTGGGCCAGTAATCGTCCCGCGGCCTGTCTGTGGAAACATGTTCGCTCTCAATGACAACAAATCGATTGCTGTGCTTGGCTTGGACATTTTCGACCCGAAAGCTCGTGTTCAATCGTGTTTTTCTGCTGGGGTTATGGGTTTTCACTTTGCTGGATGAGTCTGCAACTTGGCATGCTGAGTATTTGGTGCATGTAAATTGAAGGGGAATTCGGGGTTGGAACACGGGGAAAGGCTCTCAGATTTCTACAGGTTCATTGTTCAGTCCTGCACTATAATTCATTTACCATATTTTTTTTTGGCTACGCGTGGAATTTTGCAAGGCCATGACAAACCAGCAACGCCTCTTGGCTGGTTGACTCGATGCCATTCACAGCCCCCCTTCCCCCGGCGTCAACGGCGGCGAACTCACCACCAGTCATTTCTAAAATAGGCAATTGCGCCCCACGCAGGCGGCGCCGCCCGGCGTTTGGATGCGGGGGGCCGGCGTGATGCTCACGGAGTCACGGGTCCTGCGACGGCCCTGCGTTCAATCTTCAGGTTGCGCGCAAATTTGCAGGCGTTCAACGGACAAGAAATCCATTGAAAGTGATTGCCAGACCAGTATTCTAGTGAATTATATACAAACGGGTGCTGTCTGCTTGCCGTGCCATCCATGTCGTTGCCAGTGGACGGCCGCCGGGGGCCGCGGAGACTCGTCATTCGGCCGCATCGATAATACTCATCCACCCTGATCCCTCTGTCTCCAATATCGATTATGACAAGTCAAGTTCATGAGTCTACGGGTGCCAAGGTGGCCACCGTCTCCGTGAGCCATAATTGTAGTCGTAGAATGCAGAATTTCTCATCTTTGGACAAATCTCATGAATCGGTGAATCGATTCAGGCAACTGGACATGTAGCCAGCTGGATAATTCTCGCTTGTAGGGTGGTTTCCGTACTGCTGCTTGTTCGACTGCCGTTTGTGCATTAGTCGGAGACCGCGGGACCCGAGCCTGACGGTGTATTAGTCTTGGCAATGAGGTTGAACCATGAACAAGTATTTATTGTGAGAATAGTATTTTAAAATGAAATTAAATGAGGATTTCTATTCTGAATCACTTCTTTTCGGATATCATCTTCGCGTACTTTGAAGCGGAAATTACATCTCAGTCACCACAAATTGCCACGTCGAAATTTCTTGCTCTTTCGTCCCTCAAAGTTCAAACCATGTCACTTGGCTCCGTGTATTCGGGAGACGCCATTGTCCATGGAAAGTCTCCTAAATTTACTTACCCAGCGGAAACATGCCGTCACATTGCTACAATACTCGCCTTTCCTTCAAAATGCTCCGCCCCTCCCGTACATTATGAGAACGCATGTCGGGAGATAATTGAACTCGCTGTTACAATTTCCGAGTTTGAGCCAGTCCGCTTATATGCGAGACCAGAGGACTCACATGTCGCGCAAAACATGTTGGATGGCAAAAAGCTGGGCCCGTTCGCAGTCGACATTATCCCTTTTGCCACCAACCATCTCTGGGTTCGTGATACAGCACCCGTCTATGTCCACGGCACGTCGCCCGAGACTAGGAACCAACGATATGCCATCAACTTCAGATTCAATGAATGGGGCGCAACGGTTCCCGATAATGGCTCTCTGAAGATTGGGGAGCAGTGGCCAAAGCTGGCTGCGACACAGGTACAGGAAAACGCGACGTTTGCAAAGCGTGTGATTCAGAAAGACACACACCCGTCGCCCGTCACATGCATAGAATCCAAGATTCGCCTGGAAGGCGGCGCGCCGGTCTACGACGGCGAGGGAACCCTCATCGCGAGCGAGAGCAGTATTATTGGCGACGACCGAAATCCGCACCTGTCCAAGCAAGAGATTGAGGATGAGCTGCGCCGTCTGCTTGGTGCCACCAAAATAATTTGGTTTCCGGGATTTAAAAATCTAGACCCTACAGACGTCCATGCCGATGCGGAGCTTCAGTTTATTCGACCAGGCGTCCTCGTCGTGTCGCGGCCGCATGAGAGCGCCGAGGAGCGGTGGCACCAAGTTTACAAGCAAGTCAAGGCAGCCGTTGGCGGCAACAGGGATGCCCGAGGGCGACTCTTTGAGATATATGAAATTGCCGAGCCAGATCCAAAATGTACTGGGTGTCTGGAACATGAGGACCCGGCGACCAACTATGTCAACTTCTACTTTGCCAATGGGGCTGTGATTCTGCCCAAATTCGGCGACCATGATGCAGACACGGCGGCGTTGATGAAGGTACAGGAGTTGTGTCCTGATAGAGTTGTCAGGCAAGTATATGTCAACGCTCTCCCGCTGACTGGCGGCGTGATACATTGTTCCACGCAGCCAGTGGTTGATTTTGAAGACGTTTGAGCGAGGCTGAGGTTCATAAAGTGAACAGTGTCATTCTAAAAACTTGGAGATGTACTTGAATGGCAATTGATGCAAGTTTGTGTGAAAATGTAAACACATCTTGCCTGCGCAGATAGCTTGGTCCCCAGGTGCTGAGCTCAGTCCACCAGTTCGCTTCGTATGATGGATAAATATCGGAAAGTAGGACAAGACCATGTCGTGAATATTGAATCATCAACCATTACTCTCGTTTATTGGATGCATCGCACAAACACGCCCCCTGAAAGTCCTCGGTCCTCGGTTGCTAGTACTTCAGGGTAGCAAATGTCTATAGTGCTTGCAATTTCCCATGTTCTGTCGATGCATTCATCAGTAATATCAGCAGGTGAGACTTTTCATCACGAATTTATTTTAATTTTTTAATTTTTGGTTTTTGGCTTTTTCTTTTTTGCGCTTTCGGTAATTGCCCTGTGATTACTCACTTGATCAGTGTTACTGCATGTGCAGATTGATGGCGTCGGGTTGGTTGTCGGTAGTACCAGACGGTACGAGTCCCATCAACACTTTCTCGTCTAGCTTTCGACTTCAAACCACGATTCCATTAAGTCAACAGCTCATTGACAAAAGAAAAGTTAAATTCACAGACTAATGTCGCAATAATGTCGCTATATCGCTCCGTCTCGCCGCCGTCAGGTGCCGGGGTAGTGGCCTTCAATGTCGTCGGTACATGTACGAGTTGACGTGAAATCACGAGACGAGTGGAGCTGACACTCGGATCATGCATCGTCCAGAAGTTGGCTGGTCTTTGCTTTCAGCCTCCTACATACTTGTTCCTTCATTTCAAAACCTGCAAACAAGCAAAGGATCCTCATCATGGACTGTTCGTGCTGCGGGCCAGGCCCTTCATCGCTGCCGGCGAGTGCCTCTTTGCCTCTTGGAAACGATGACTCGAGGAACTCGGCTCGTCCATCGGGTGCTGTTGCATCTCAGGCAACCGATTGCGACATCGTCCAAATTCGTCCTGGCAACCAAGCCGCGGAGCTGGAAGTCGGTTGCGAGGAAGCTGAATCGACCTCCAAAGAAGCTTGCCAGGACAGCTGCTGCGGAGGCAGCACAGTCGACCTTGGGCCAACAAACGATTCAGACGATGCTCCAACAGACCTCCCCGCAGTTTGCACCGACTCCTGTTGCGATGGAGAGGCAACCCCGGACATCCATGAATCCCCCCCTGGAGTCGCCAAAGAGGAGCAGGATGGGGCTTCGACTAAAGAGTCTGCTGACGATTGCTGCCGTCCTTCTCCTCCCGCTTGTAGCCTTGGATGCTGCGATAAACAAGAACCCGTCCCTGCAGAAGAAGGAATAGTCCACTCGCCAGACAAAGACTGTTCAGATAACTGCTGCAGTGCCAAATCGGATCCCAAATCACCAGAATGTTGCCGTGGCAAGCCGTCGCCATGTTGCGACGAATCTTGCCTGGACCGCTTGGCTCTACGGGAATGTGACTCTACACCAGGCCCAGCTTGCGGCGGGCAGAAGCATCAACCTTGTGACCAGCACCGACTGTCGATTCGCCAGCAGTATCGTGCCCGTCTCGATGCGCTTGGATGTATCTGCCGTGCGCTGCTCGCGTTGGGGAAGGAGACTTGCTGTGATCCCCGATGGTCTTCCACTCCAGTGAAGCCTAAAGGCTGCAATCGCAGTCGCAGTCCGAAAGAGGCTGACCGCATTTCTATTTCATCTTGCTACTCGAGCTCCACGGCAAAGAGACAATCTACTTGCAAACGAAGACCAGCCAGACATCAGTCCAAAGCATCATGCTGTCCTCCTAGTCCAACACAGTCTGTCAGATCCGATGGTTCTTGCTGCAAGCCAATCACGAAACTTGCATCAAAGTCCTCTCTTTTTAATCCTGAGGAGCAATCCGGCGTTGGCATCGAGGCCGTGGGCTCGAGAACCAAAGGCTGTGGCAATCGTCTCCCTGCTGCTGACATGAAACTTGTCCAACATCAAGGCGATGCCAGCACAACCATGTCGAAGGAAATCAGCGCTCGGAACAATGACATTGAACATGTAGTTCTTTCCGTTTCTGGAATGACCTGCACAGGCTGCGAAACAAAACTCAATAGAACTCTTGGAGTGATATCCGGAGTCAAAAACCTAAAGACCAGCCTCGTTCTTTCCAGAGCGGAATTCGACATCGACCTCAATATTGTGACTTGCGACTACGTCATGAAACATCTAGAACGAAGAACTGAATTCAAATGCGAGATCCTTACCAATAATGGATTCACCCTCGACCTCGTTATAAGTGAAGATCCGGCAATGTTCGTCAACCAATCTTTCCCTGATGGCGTATTGGATATTACCCTCGTCAAAAAGGATGTCGCGAGAGTCTCTTTCGATCCGCTCATCATCGGGTCCCGAGATCTCATGGAAAGGCACTGGAAAGGACGTGCCACCCTTGCGCCCGGAAGTGATGATCCTGGACTTGCAGCGGGAAGAAAGCACGTTTCCTACCTGGGATACATGACTATTCTATCTATAGCTCTTACAATTCCAGTACTTGTCCTGGCCTGGGCTCCCTTGCCCAAGAGAGATGTCGCATATAGTTCTGCTTCTCTAGTCCTCGCCACCATTGTGCAGGTGGTGATTGCAGGGCCGTTCTATCCCAAGGCACTGAAAGCGCTTCTGTTTTCACGAGTTATCGAAATGGACCTCTTGATCGTACTCAGTACGAGTGCCGCGTACGTATTCTCCGTGGTATCGTTTGGCTACCTAGCAGCCAAGAAGCCTCTCCCCACCGGACAGTTCTTCGAGACAAGCACTCTCCTTGTCACATTGATCATGGTTGGGAGATATGTCGCAGCACTTGCGCGCCAAAAGGCGGTCGAATCCATTTCCATGAGGACATTGCAGGCTGAGACCGCTCTTCTGGTGGTGAATGATGACACATCAAAAACCGAGACTGTTGATGTGCGGTTACTTCAATACGGCGACACGTTCAAAGTCCCCCCCGAAACCAGAATTCCAACTGATGGGGTTGTATTGTCTGGTTCCTCCGAAGTAGATGAATCTATGCTGACTGGAGAGTCGCTTCCGGTTGAAAAGACGGCCAAATCGAGTGTCATCGCGGGGACTTTGAACGGCCCTGGCACTCTGATCGTCCGACTCAAACGCCTCCCAGGCGACAACACAATCGCTACCATCGCAGCTATGGTTGACCAAGCAAAGTTGTCTAAGCCCAAGATGCAAGAACTTGCAGACAAGGTGGCTTCCTATTTTGTCCCGGTAGTTGTTGGATTAACAATCATCACCTTTGTAATTTGGGTTGCCGTCGGGATAGCAATACAGCACAAGTCTGGATCTGGAGCAGCAGTGCAGGCAATCACTTATGCCATCACCGTGCTTATTGTGTCTTGCCCATGCGCTGTTGGGCTTGCGGTACCCATGGTCATCGTCATTGCCAGCGGAATTGCAGCTGAACGAGGAGTCATCTTCAAGTCTGCGAACGCGATTGAGATTGCACATCAAACAACCCATCTTGTTCTAGACAAGACTGGCACGCTAACCGAGGGCAAGTTGAGCGTCACCGCGGAGAACATTGTATCTGACAATCAGAACTTGTCACTTCTTCTGGGACTAATCGCCGACAATAAACATCCAGTGTCCATTGCGATTGCCAACCATCTCAGAAACAAGCATATTGTGGCAACTCCCGTGCGTGACGTAAAGAGTCTGGTAGGCAAAGGTGTTATGGGCTTGGCCGGCGACAAGACCTTGCGTGCCGGCAACTCACGTTGGTTAGACTTTGATTGTCACCCTGCGGTACGAGCTGTCGATGCTCAAGAGCATACTGTGTTTTGTTTCTCCATCGATGGTCAATTGGCCGCCGTATTTGGCCTAAAGGATTCCCTCCGCCCGGATGCTCTACATGTGGTTGGCCTACTTCAGCAACAGGGAATCTCTGTGCATATAGTCTCTGGCGATGATAATGGACCTGTTCAAGGTGTGGCCTCCAAGCTGGGAATACCAACGATCCACACACGCTCCCGCAGCACGCCAGCCGATAAGCAACTCTATATCAAGCGCCTCCTGGAAGAAACCACAGAGACAAAGAAACCGGTTGTCGTTTTCTGCGGCGATGGCACAAATGATTCAGTAGCCCTCGCCCAAGCAACCATTGGCGTCCACATGCATGAGGGCAGTGATGTAGCCCAATCTGCAGCGGATGTGGTTCTTATGAGGCCCGGTCTTACTGGGCTGGTGACTGTGAGAGAGGTGAGCAAGGCCTCGGTTCGACGGATCAAGTTCAACTTTGCGTGGGCCTTTGTTTACAACACGTTTGCGGTGCTTCTCGCTGCCGGGGCTTTTGTGAATGCGAGGATCCCGCCAGAGTATGCCGGCCTGGGCGAACTTGTCAGCGTTTTGCCTGTGATTGCAGCGGCGGTTCTCATGCGTTGGTCAAAGGTCTAGCCGGGTTGCTGAGCTACTGTGTCTGTTTGATGGGTAGGTATACGCTTCTACCTTTCAGGACAGTCACTTCAGCTATTTTCTGTTCCCTTCGTGTAACCTCTATTCCCCGAGAAGACGACGTTGGAATTGAGTTGAAAATGTGACTCGAGGCCGTGTTCAACCACACTTTGCGTCTTTATGGCGAGATTCAACATCTCGACGGTGTTGCTACTATGAAACTATCGCTAGACAGACGAATGCAAGCTACATATATTTTAAATACACTCTTTCCATTCGCAGGTTTGCTCCGGTCATTACTGATGGAAATGCGACGCTGTTCGGGGCTCAATAACCCCCATCTCATTTGGTAGATGGACACGAATCAGTGCGACGTAACCAGATATCGTTGCAAATTTGGCTCTTCTGCCTTTGTGGCTCGACGTGCAGACTGGCACGACCACACAATATACCCATTCGGCTTGCAGCATTTATGTACTTGTAGTACTGCCTGCGATGACGCATAGTCGGAGTTTCAGACCAATCCGCCCATGCCACCCCGTGAGACAGTTTGGAGAGCGAACAGACAATGTCTTGATTCATCACATAAGCCCGTCATACAATGAATACGCCAAGTGGCCCTGCTCGTCATGCTTCCATTCGCAAGCCCGTTCAAGGTCTGGTGGCCGGTTGCAGCGCTTTTCATGGTTGGCCAGGCCTTTCAACTGGTTGTGCCGTTCTTGCGGCCGCCTCGAGGTCAGGGCGATACACCGCCTCTCCCGTACTGGCTATATTGTGTTGTCGGCATCGGCATCCTCGTTGCCTCGGTTGTTTATTGGTTTACTCGGTGGGTTGCAGCGCCTAAACTTGGGGGCTATACGCTTGAACCGCACAACGAGCCACTACAAGACGGAACCAACGTGGTTGTATATCGCCGTGTCCCTAGGAAGACTCTCGGAAGAAATAATCTCTCACAGGGCGTGTTTGTGTCTTTTTATACGCATACCACATGTGCGAGTGAGTGACTCGCCGAGGTGTGTAATAGACAGCATTGGGAGTCGGAACTCTTGATGCGCTTGACCAAATCACCACCAGTCAAGCAGTATTTGCACAGATACATGTACCCGGGAAACTTGCCACTGCGTGTACGTGTACGTGTACGTGTATGTGTATGTGTTCTACGTATAATACGGAGAATCGAGAGACAAAGCTAGCCCACGAGCGGCCTGCTGCCCTTTGGAAGAGTGATTTTGAAAACCAACATCTGGTGGTCCAAATTCAGTCCTGATTTATCCGCGTACCGGGTTTTTCCAAAGTTGATAAACCCTAGTCCTCGAGGATTAGCAGCGAGCCAACATGGATATGCCAACATACGCCAAAAACGTACCATGTTGAGTAATAAAGTCATTGTCAGAGGATGCAAACAAGAAGTACTCCTCTGCATCGTGCTTCCCGTCTTCGTTCTCGACTGGGACCAAAGCAATGCCCTCCCATTTCTCATTCAGCAGCCCGCCATCCCGAGGACCGCCGTTGTGCAAGCCAAATCTACTCAGCTGCGCTTTGACGTTGAAATCGACCAAGGGACAAACTATCGCAGGCGTAATATCAGACTTTAATACGCCGGCTACTACGATTAGTAGATGCTTGTATCAGAATTTTTTGTTTCAGGGAGATGCGGGCGAACCTGTGCTCGCAATCGACGCATTAAAGGCGTCGTGTGCAGGCCCCTTGACATTCGTCGCGTTGGAGATGTCAAAGATGTCAACATGTCTATATATCGATTCCCAGCTGGACAGATTGCCTCCATTGTTGGAGTCTCTCGGCAAGAAGAAGAACTGCGTGTCCGAGACAAAGTGCATGTCGGACTGCGAAGCTACGGCAGTCTTGCCAGAGGCGTCCTTGAAGGTAGGCAGCGGCACGACATACTCCCCCTGGTACACGACGGCTTGCTTGTCCTTGGTCGAGTATTGCAGCAGGCGGGTGTATCGACGGGTTTTCGAGCTCGACCCGCCGTCCTGGACAGCGGCGGATTGAAGAAGCGCCCATAGAGTTTGTCCATCCGGACTGGCCGTCATTCCCTCGAATCCCTGGTTGTTCTGGCGCCCTTGGGTCGGGTTAGATGGGATAGGCTTCTTGGTAAGATTGTACGCTGGAGGGTTGTTTGACGAGAAGCTGCCACATTGCCTCCTTGTTAGTCCGAATACGGCCCCTTCAAGACGAAATACTGACCTCACAGTGCCGTTTCTCAGAGGGAGAAGAGCATTCGGCGGCGCTACGGCGGCCGTCATTTTGCCATTCTTGTCAAACTTGTAAATATACGGGCCGTACTCGTCGCCAATCCAGAAGCCGCCGTCTTTGGCGAGAACCAGTGCTTCTGGGTCGAGCGCAACGCGTTTCCAACCCGGGCCCTGTCCGCCAAAGCCATCTCCGGCGCTTGTTGCTGCTGGGAGGAGTGGGAAACCGGGATATTGCAAACCTCCCGTCTGGTCCGCGTCCAGGCCGGTCATGGGCGTGCCATCTGGGCCGGTGAGCAGAGTCGAGTTCTGGTATACAAAGGCGACATTTGGAGGCGACGGATGAGCAGCACTCGCGCTCGTATTGGGCGTCAAAGTTACGAGGAATTCATGGATGCGCGGTTGGAAGTTGATTGTGCCCTGCGTGTTCCATCCGCGATCCGGCAAGCCGTACAGCCTGCCTTGATACTTGGAGCCGGTTTTGGACCAAGACGTAATTGCGATGGATGAGCCCAGGCTGATGGAGTCTCCAAATTTGTCCAGAGCATCGCTACGGACAAAGCCGTATCCTGCGAGCTCGTTATACGTGTATGTCTTGCCTGCGCAGGTGGTTGAGAAGACGTGATGCTGGGATACGGCCGAACCAGCAGAGGCGACAGAAGTCGCCACAGCGAACACGGCCAGCGAAGCGCGCACTTGGAACATCGAGGATCGTTGCCAGTCGGTGCAATGGGACATGGAAACGGGCTGACAAGCAAGCACCTTGCTTTCTGGAGAGGACCAGCAGCGGCATAACGGCGATGCAGCCCTTTAAGTTGGGCGCCTGTGCCGTCTCCCAGCTCGTGGAAGACTAAACACTGCATGTCATTCATTAATCCATCCAGGGTTGTCACTGGTCAGTATGCATTGTACATATGCAGTGTTGACGGAAACGAAAAAGCCTCAAAGCTTTTTAACCTGTCAACAGAAAACGGGAAAAGGCCAGCCTCTCAACGGAAACGGAAAAGGCCTCTTAAAATGCTTCCGGCTAAAAGCCTAATTAATAACTTGGTGTCGGTGACAGGGTTTGTTTATAACTTAAACAACATCCAAGTTGAGTGGCCATGTCTCCCATGTGCTGACGGTACAACCTGCAGATCATTTGTGGCTTTTTTTTTTTCTTTGCGCCGCGCATACATACACCAAGTTACCAATCGATCGACCCGTTGGCCCAGTGTTCAACTAATGGGATTTCGGGCGCCGTGCACAGAAGTTGAAACAAGGTTGTGAAGTGACGACATGTTGCAAGTAGGTTGACAACTTGGCCCTCTTGCGCAGGTCGAGGCTCGACAGAGTCTAGGTATGGATAAGCGCGGTGTAGAAGACGAGCAAAGGATTTTTAACATGTTGCAACAAGTGAAATTTTATAATTATGCAACGACTCCAAGTGTGCCATTCCTTGCTCGAGTTGTACAGAAATGGCCGCTGTTAATATAATACACAGAAAGCAGCCGTCTTCAACAACACAGCAGGGCTCGCTATATGGTCTGTGAACCGGCCGCCTGACTCGAAGACTCGGCCATGACGACTGCTTTTTTCTCCTTCTTTTGAGACTGGTCGAAGAAGGGCGTCTTGCAGAGCGGACAAGTGTTGTGTTGCCGCAGGTACCACGTATCCAGGCACGATGAATGGAAATAGTGTTGGCATGGTAAACGCCGGACCATGTCGTCGTCTTTCAAAACATCCAGGCAGATGGCACTGTAGGCGAGCTAGTTAGTACAGGTGACGGCCTAGGATGGAATCGTATGGTTCCTCCTCTTTTTCGTTTCCGCCGCTCTAGATATCGACATCTGATGGAGGCGGCGCGAGAGACCTACCAGACTATAACGTTGTCAAAAGAGCAGGACGCCGGTAGCTTGGGCTCAGGCTCGGCCTTTTCTTGGTCGTTTCCATAGGCACGACTTGGTGCCACGCCGTCAAGCTTTAATATGGACGCCAGTCTCTTGCGTTTTCCAGCCTCCAAGTCCTCCGGGCTGCCACCGCCGCGGTTCTTGCACAGAAGTCTGCCATAGATATTCAGCTAGTTGGCTCAGATGACGGTTGCTCATGAGAAGAGGCAGGCCCATACCTGGAGAGCAACACAAGGACGACAAATATACCCGCCAGAATACCGAGCACGATTCCGACTGCGACACTCCCGCCGTCGCTGGTGGGCTGTGGGTTGATGTTGTCGGGATTAGTAGATGATGACATTGTGTATTACATGCAGCGTGATGGATATTCCAGGAGCGGCGGCGTCAGGACATATCACGCTTATGTAGCTTCGAGAATCAAGCCCCAGCATCGTTTGCTCGGGCGGTCCAAGACCAAGAGCTCGCAGCTTTTCAGTCAACACGGCGCACACCTCGCATTCAAGGTCCGCGACGTGTTCCTTTTATGCCTGATAGCAAATGGGCAAATAAAGCCGTCCTTGCCCACCAGGCAAGCCTCCCAGGCTGGGCTCAGCGAACCGGAATGCCGATGGCTGAGATGGCCATGATGGCTTGCCATGAGCAAAGGCCAACTGGCCCAATGCTCGACTGCGAACCATCAGAGTGGATGGCCGAGTGAACCAAGCAACGGTCGCGGCTCGTCCGCCAACCTGAATCAGTATTGATTCTTAACGCCATCCAGAACCAGACTCCTTGGCGATAACTCGACTACGTTGCGAGGGGTGGCGTGACGTGGAACAAAGGGCTGTGCATCCCGTCTTGAGTCTTGACAATCTCCATCTTGCGGGCGAGCAGGGCCGGGTTGCAAATCGCCAACTTGGTGGTATTTCCGTCAACAGAAGCCCGTACAGTACACGAGAAATACTGCCAATCGCCAAAACACAAGCCAACTCGTTGCAGCTTCTTTCAACTCCCTTGTATCCAAGAGACGGCACTGTGGGCTGAACTCTTGAGTCTTATGGATGTCTGGTCCAAACTACGCAGCTACTACTATAGCTACAAGCCAGCAGATGACTAGCAAAGACCCGACTTGCCTGCCACGTAATCCAGCCACGAGCGAAAAAGCCCCTCGCTAAAGCTACGACTGCCAAGGTAGTTGTCTGTAGTAGAGTCAATACTAAACTCAAATGGAATGCGTCGGCTCCAGGTGGCGCTTCTGCGCAGTGTAGATGGACGGGCCGGGTTTCTAGTGAGACAACCCGGGACAACCAAAGAGTGGACAAAACAACAAAGAATGCTCAGCGGAATAACAATGCGTCTCATACAAGACGTTAGGGAAACGTTTAACCTTTTAACAAGGCGAGTTATCGATCCCTCGGCTCCCCCAGTTACATGGTAGATTGCCCGCCGGGGTACAGTTCACAACGCTTACAGCGTTCAACATGTCGGTTCTCAAGGTGGCTTAACCGGAGCTGCTAACCCATGGCTATATTCCCCGCAAGACAACGCCCTGTAGCTAAGTAGCTAATCGACATCGTTCGTCTCGCTAAATCGGACTTGTGGACGGGCGGGCGGTCGCAAAATATCCCCTTCAGCCTCCCCCCACAAACCGTAGACACCGATAGACAGCATCCGCAAGTCGACACTTTTCTATAACAACAAGATTATTCCATCAAGACGTTACGGAGTAGTAGTGTCTAGAATAGCCACCTCTGCCAGTTGGGAGGCTCCCCAGGAGAATCCAAGGCGCCAGCAGTCTTGCCTAGCCCCTTGTGCTGTGTTTCCGTGCCAAGCGGTTCGAGACTGGAAGCATCGCCGTGCCAGTCCAGTCTTTGATTTAACAGAGACGATTTTTATGGAGAAGAAGCTCAAGCTGGCCAAGTTGTGCGAGCGCAACGTCTGGCCGGCCAAGAGCGATCCGGCTCAGCCTTGTCGAGGTTCTGGACCTGTGGCACAACTTCGCCCGGCTGCAGCGAATCGAGAGCAATCGCCGGCCCCCCCTCACGTCGACGCATGTGTGGCCGATGGGATGAGATGGCACGATGGGATTCCCCCGCAGAACGTGGTGGCGCCACCCTTTGGCTTTTGCCTCCGAGACTCCCACAGCCACGGTTCTGTCTGTATGTAGCTGGACCCTGTTGAACTTGGTGCTGTTGCTGGGCAGTGGTCACCAACGGCAGGTGACGAGGTCCTTTATTTCGTCTGTAGCGAGGAATTGGGAACGCGGTGACGGCGCTGCGTGGGTTTCCGACTTGGGAACAGGAGGATACCTCGGCATGGCGTGGTGGTCACGCCCGCGAGTATAACTACTCTACTACTATCGACCTGAGGAGGCTTGAGGACTCGGATTGCGTGCCGAATCACGACAAGTCGTTTGTGTCGACAGGTCGCATACAGTATTCTCACGCTGCGCAATGGCATAATTAACACGGATTGTGGTCCGGCAACCTTTTACCAAAGACGGACATGATATGCCAGAACTGCCACGTCACAACTGGTGCTTTCCATTTGAGCAGCTTCTCCGGCGTGGCCTGATGAGATGCGCATGTGGAAATGGTACCGAGTAAACAGAGAGCAGAATGGCTGTGCGCGACGTGTCATGCCATGCGGGTATCTCACCACATGCATGCATGTCCTTGAGCTTGCCGCCCATCATGTCATCCCGCCATGCATTGCCGGTGCCGTAGCTTCTTCTTGTTTGACCTTTTTTTGTTCCAGACATGATGAGAGGGCAATCGCGTCTTGTTTCACCCTGTAAGCCACCGGAAAGCTTCGGTTCATACGTATCTACCAAACACATTTATTTGTAGGAGCTTGCCCAGCACTCACCACCACCCTCACCACTCTCAAATGAGTTTTGATTTTTTAAAACGTCTACGTCACTTGAAAACTTGTCATAAACTGCGCACAACGACCTCACATGGCACCCAAAGTCGAATGCATAAACCCTTGTTGTCCTTCTCGCAAAGTGCCAACCCCCCGACTCCGTCGCTCTGCTTCGATTTCCGGCATCCGAGATCACCACCCGCCCTGGACGGCTCCTTCGAGCGCCGCCATCACAGATCTGCCGCTGGAACTGATTTACAACATCTTCGACATCCTCGACCCCATCGACTGCACATGTCTTGGCCTTGCCAACCATCGATTCTACGCCGTCCTCCGCCATCTCTACGGCTCCGTCCCGCTGAGCTGTCAACGCCTCGGGCCCAATGATCTAGAATGGGCATGGAACTGGGCCCAAACGTCCGAATCCCAATGTTCCTGCTCGGCGCAGGGGCGGGGTTCGGTGCAAAGTAGAGAATCGTCATCACTGCCCTCTGAATCTCGGTCAACGGCCGTCGAGCCAAACAAGGGCCAGGGATTCTGTCGCCACTGCGGTGCCAATCGCTGCCAACTACACAGGCACCTGTATTGCTGGATGGGCGTAAACGACCACCGTTCCGAATACTGTTCCGTGGCGGAAAGATTTCTGCCTCCGGCTGACCAAAGTCCGGTGAAGCATTGCTACTTGACCAAGCCGGGCTGGCCTCGCCGGTGCGGCAAGCATCCTTCCAGCGATATCATCTCTACTCCTGGACACCATACCGTCAAGGTGTGACTTGATACTTTCCATCCGTGTTTAGTTCTCGCCCGTCGTTACACCCAGACAAAGACACGACGCCAGTCAAACCGAGCGATAATCACGGGAAGGGGAATACTCGAAAACGCCTGATGCATGTACGGATCCGCATGTTGCTGGCAACACGTCGTATTGTATTATTTTTCAAACTTGTATACTGGCCAGCTTTGCACTCCAGCCAGGAGCTCCTCTTATGCCGAAACGTCCAGCGGAGACTTGCAGCCAAAAGCATTCAGCTGAGGAACCGCATAGATCTGGATCAGGTTCATGACGGAAGCATATATGCCGAGGGCACACAAGGCCATGGCGCCGAGGAAATACAGCAGATTGAAGACGTTGAGGTACCAACGGGCACCGAAGAAGCCGCGCACCCAGCGCCTGATTCCGCCATCGCGCGCCGCCAGCTCGCCGGTGCTTGGGTCGAACCCGGCTTCTCCCTCCATGGCGGACTTTTGGATCTGATAGCCTATGTGCAAAAGCGGCGGGAACGAGTACGTAAACTGCAAGATGCAGACGGCGGCCACGATGCCGGTGAAGCCGGCGAAATCGGGAATCGCTGCTCCGATTACATAGGCGATAGACCAGTAGATGGGGACGAGAGCAAACCAGATATATCGGCCTCCCTTGCTTTCCAGCGGCGGAGCCTTGAAAAATTCGACAAGAATGTTGTTATAGAGCACTGTCGTCATCTGTTAGCATGTGGCTGCTACACATGAAAAAAGGAATACACACCTTTGATACCAATATTGCCGTAGAGCGTAGCCGCAATCAGAGCGGATACAATGGCCAGGGAGTTGCCTGCTGTTTGCAAGCCGTACGCAGATATTCCCAGATAGGCAGGCGTCTGCACGTACTGGCCCTGGAAGCCGTACATGAAGAGCCCGTACAGCATGTAGCAGATGTAGATGAAGAGCTGGGCAGACCACATGCCCTTGAGAAAGTCTCTGGGGCGCCTGATTTCGGCCATGAACTCGGGAAAGATCATGGATCCGCCGTACGAGTACACGGCTTGCATGGCGCCGTTGAGCGAGGCCGCAAAGTTGCCAGAGTCAGGCAGGGCCGCGCTGTGCTGGACGGGGGGGTACGTTCCGTTGACGGGGGTGACGAGTGCCGGATCGATGGAATAGCCCGCCGACGAGGCGGACGCAGAGTAGAGAGGCGGCGTGTGGGCGGCGGCGCCCATGGTGATGAACATGATGAGCAGGTTGATGAAGACGGCCACGTTGGCAAGCCAGGTGAACTTTTGCAGGGTCCGAATCTGGCCCAGGACGAAGCCGGCGAGGGCCCAGACCAGGCAGCAAATAGCATAGCAGAGCTTGAATTTTACGGCTTCCGACAACGCTTCGCCGTTGGATATGATGATGGCGCCGACGTTGCAGATAAGCTGGATGGCCTGAAGGATGTTGAACAAGTAGCGGCACCATGTTCCGTAGACACGGAAGCCTATGTCTCCGAATGACTTGATGGGAAACTGAAATGAATCAAGGCCTGGACCGATTAGTTGAGCTTGTCGGAACCAATAGACATGAATTGATACAACCATCTTGTAGTTGAGGATCAACCTACTTACCCATGAAGCAATCCCACAGCAGATATCCAGAAAACCCCGCCATGAATCCAAAGACAGTATACAGAGCGGTACCCGGTCTATTCGTGTCGTGTTAGTTGCCGTCTCGTCAAGTTCTCGAAACCATGTTGGCTCA